CCCCCCCCCCCCCGGCAAGTGATCGGTGCTTCTGTTCCTCGGGCCAGGACTTCCCTTCCCACGTCTGGCCTGAGCCTCTCTCCTGAGATTGCTGCCCTGGCCTTTGCCTTCGCAGCCTGTCTCCTTCTGCCCCAGCCTTGCCATGGAGACCCTTCCCCACACCCCAGCCCTCTTCAGGTCTGGGGCCCACCCACGATAGAGGCCCAAGGTGGGAACCTTTGAAGGAGCACGGTCTTCCTCCCCTCACAGCCCCTGTCTCTGAGCCTTCACGTAACTATTTTCTTCTTCCTCTGGATTCAACTCTTGTTTCTTGCCATCTTCTCGCCTCCCCGGTGGAGGTGTTTCATGTTCCTCTCTGCCTCTAGATCTGTGACCTTCTGGAAAGAGAGCCTTGTGGCTCTGGTTGTGGGATCACAGTTGACAACGAGCTTTACTCACTGTCTTTTCACCACATTTCTTACTGTGAGAACACTGCCCCGTCTAGCCTCACAGTCACATTCATTGCAGGCTCCTTGTGCTTTCTCTCTTTTAAGCTCCTCCCTGTCTCATTTCCTAAACTTCCTATCCTCTTCCGTCTCCTCTCAACAGTCCACTCCTCCCTCCCTATTCCTCAGGTCCCCCTGCCAACTGTAATCTCCTGTCCTCTGCCATCTGTACATCCCTACTGCAGTAGGGTCTTGCCCTGTCCATCTCCCAGGCCCCTAGTTCCTCCACTGTGCCTCCTTGATCCACTGGATCTCCCAGTGTGTGACTGCCCACCTCTCGTCCCAGGCATGGATGCCTTCACCTAAATGCATGGCTTTCCCCAAACCTCCCTCTGGTGACACCTTCCTCTTCTCTACCCTCCAGCCTCTGCCTCGGTGCACCCTCTCATTGACCCCCTGGCCTCAGGGTCTCACCTTACCCGGATCCCCTACCCAGCTGGGACCCTCCCCAACCCCCTTCTTCCTCACCCTCTGCACGAGAACGAAGTTCTTCGTCACCAGCTCTTTGGTAAGGATGGAGGTCTCGGGGTTGGGGAAGGTCTCATGAGGGAAGGGCAGAAAGGAGGAAGTTAGGTGGTGGGATTGGCCTGGTTGGGCTTGGGGAGAGATGAGGAGGTGCCCAGAGGAGCTGGGAACAGGAGTAGGAGGGCTGAGGCCCTGCCCAAGAGAGGCACAGGGTTTAGGGCCAGGCTAAGAGGCCTGAATCCTAACCACCCCTGGCAACTTGCTGGACTGGCTGTCACCGAAGTTGATTAGTGGCAGCTCCTCTGTATGTAAAGCTGCTGGCTACCTCCGTACGCCATCAGTCACGTGGCCCCTGCCCTTCCTGCCCACAGCTGCTCCTTACCGGGACCTGCCAGCCTCCCTCTCTGCCCCGATGTCAGCAGCTCACCAGCTGCAGGCCATGCACGCGCAGTCCGCTGAGCTGCAGCGCTTGGCGCTGGAGCAGCAGCAGTGGCTGCACGCCCATCACCCGCTGCACAGTGTGCCGCTCCCTGCCCAGGAGGACTACTACAGGTGCCGCGGGGCGCCCTAGGCCAGCCGGAGGGGCCGCAGCTCAGCCCGCCTGGGAGGGGGTGTGGCTCCCGTGGGAGGGGAACCCCTTCCCCACCGTCCTCTGTGAGAGGGGCCTCAGCGTCTCAGTCCCTGCTCTGCCCCCCTCTTCCCCCAGTCACCTGAAGAAGGAAAGCGACAAGCCGCTGTAGAGCCTGCGCGCAAGAGAGCACCCGTGGCCCCTGCATCTGGACCCAGGAGGCCTCCCTCCCCGCCTGCCACTCGGAGCGGAGGCGGGTGCCGCTCAGTCCCAGGGCCTGGGCCTCTGGGCAGAAGGAAGGAGGAAGGGACAGATGGAAGGCCAAGGCTCCTGTGGTGTGCGGAGGTGGGGAGGGGGCGGGGGTGAGGGCGGAAAGCGCACAGCATCTTGGACCAGGTCCCTCTCCCTTGGCCCCCGCCTTTCTCCCTCCCCCACGCCCCACCCCCGTGGCCACCGCCTCTCCCCCACCCCTTGGTGTGATTATTTCATCTGTTAGATGTGGCTGTTTTGCGTAGCATCGTGTGCTGCCCCTGCCCCTCCCCAGCCCCCGTGTGCGCGCCCCCCACTGCGATGTATGCCCCTTGCCCTCCCCCCACATTAATAATTTATATATATAAATATCTATATGACGCTCTTTAAAAAACATCCCAAACAAAACCAACCAAACAAAAACATCCTCACGACTCCCCAGGAAGATGTCTGTGGCTGTTTCTTTGTGGGCTACTGGGCGTGGGTTGGGGGCGTGGGTCTCTGCGCGGCGACGCCTCGAGAGAAAGCTGTGGGATCACCGGAGACTAGCCCGGAGGTGGGTGGGGCCCCTGGAGAGTTGGAGAGGGGGCCTCGAAGGGCCCGGGGTCCTGGAGCCCTGGCTCTGCCCTAACGGGGTCCGTTATGGCAGAGTCTTGGCCTTCCTCCCAAGGCCGGCAAGTCAGGATGCTGGCGGCCTGGGACAGCTCTAGGCAACTACGCAGACTTGGGAGGCACTTCTGCCACTGGCCCCACAGTTTGGGGCCACCAGAGACTTGCATCCTTTCCGTAGGATAGTTAGAAATGGTGTTGAAGCGGAGGTGCAGGGGGCGTGGCTGCAATAATTTGAAGCGTTCAGAACCCAGGAGTCTTAACCACCCTATAGTTTGAGGAGGGAGCGGGTGACAATTTCAAACGCCCAGAAGGGAAAGGAAATTAGAGGGCGTTAGCTTCCCCCCCACCCCGCCCCGACACAAGGCCATTTTCGGAAAGCGCGGGAGCCGCTTTAACGCCAAGCTTTTACTGCTGCGAATCCTTGTCTACGTTCTTAAAAACTAAAGGGGAGTGACTGGCTTCTTCCTGAGCCAATCGGCATAGAGTTATTTGCATAGGCCTGTACTAAACGTTCTCAAACTCTAGAAACAGATGATTTAAGAGAGTTCTTTTGAATACTGTTTTCCCTTCTGAAAGCTGCAGTGTGCCCTGTTGCTTGTACAGCAGTAAAGATTAGGAAATGCCATGGGAGCTCACCCTCACCAACAGTGGAGTTGGTGGACATGCCACCTTCTCTCCTAGGGCACGTTCTGGTAGTGTTACAGCTCTTTTAGAATTTGTCTAGTAGGTTTTCTGGTTTCTACCGGAAAACCCCCACCATACAGTTTGTTTTTAACGGTAGAATAGTCTTAAGTGAGCTGTGAGAATTTCAGATTGTAGGTTAGCTTACTGTTTTCGCGACGGACTCGTTATTGGTTGGTTGAAAATGGAGAAATGGAAGCTGTACCGTGAGGTTTCCGGCATAAGCTGATGCAATTTCCCTACCGCCCCACCCGCTGGGAGAGCCGCTCTAGGACATTGCTTGTTTCTCCTGGCTATTTCTCGAGCGCGGTTGCACGTGTATCTTTTGTTCTATGGCGACCGCCTCTGCTCAAGCTGCAGCGTTGAGCGCCGAGCAGGCCAAGGGTGAGAAACCTTTTAGTTGTCGGGTGGGCTTCCTGCTAAAGAAGAGTGCGGGAAAAAGATCTGGGGCGAGAGAAATGGCTGCGTTCCCTGGGAAATGCGGGTACCCGGTACCATACTCTGTCAGTTAACAAGGGTCCTTGCTCCTGGAGCGAGAGATTCGGAGGCCGAGTTCCTTGGGTTACTATGGTTTCAGCCTGTTAAATAATTCCCTGCCCTCTTTCTTGTGTTTTCGGTTGCGCCCGCCGGCCGTGCGCCGATGCGTACCCGGGACTCCTTCCGGGGGTGCGTCTGTTGCACAGTGGTCCTGGCCGAGGTGATCCAGGCGTTCTCGGCGCCGGAGAACGCCGTGCGCATGGACGAGGCTCGGGACAACGCGTGTAACGACATGGGCAAGATGCTGCAATTTATGGCTTCAGCTGCGACGGGGAAGGTGGGTCGGACGGGATGGAGGGGAGAGCGATGGATCCCTTGGGCCTCCGAGCCGTAATCCCTTTTCTCGCCACACGGCGGCAGCCACGCTCTAACAGTATTGGTACTCTGAGACCAGGGTCTGTTCGTGAACTTGAGCCAAGGGAAGTCTGAAGTGAGTTTTCTAGTTACCATTAATTATACTGTTATACAATTCTAAGATGAGGAAACAGACTCTAGAAATAAAACACAAGTGCCGGAGGTCACAGCCGAGTTGGACCTGAAACCCGTTCTGACGGCTTGTGGTGAGGTGTCTGCATGACAGTACAGTTCTGCAGCCCCTCCAAGGTGTTTCAACTCTTTTCTGTTTGAGGGTTGGCAGTTCAGTTTCTTTGGGGAGATCAGGGTCTTCCCCAAGGGTATTTACTGATTCAGCCCAACTGGCCCATGGCCCTCCTGTTTCCTGGGTCTGGACTGGTGATCTTGTGGGTGTGCATCCTTTGGGATCTTGTGACTAAAGTGCTAAAATGGTTCACCTGATGGTGGGAAGCACACTGCTTCGGGATATTTTCATTCACTGCATCACGTCCAGTTGTGCCCCAGTGTAGCTGATCCAAACGACACAGGGCAGAGGCGTGCATATGTCTTGTTCTGCAGACAGCTACCTGGGGCCAGAGCCAGAGTAGCCAGCGACTCCGGCTCGAGCTTCCCCCTCCTGCCATCTTGGGCACATCCGTCCGCTGGGGGTGTGAACTGATGCTGTTTCCCTTTGCAGGTGTCCTTAAGTTTGCCCGCTTGGTCAAGTCTTACGAAGCCCAGGACCCCGAGATTGCCAGCCTGTCGGGCAAGCTGAGGGCGCTGTTCCTGCCGCCTATGACCCTGCCGCCCCACGGGCCTGCTTCGGGTGGCAGTGTGGCCGCCTCCTGAGGGTTGGCCCTCCCGTGGCACTAATGGGGAAGGGAAGACCTTGGTGTTCCGGAGGATATAAATGTGCCTGTGACTTAGCCTTGCCGTCTGTCTTTTGTGACCCTGACAACCTCTGCGTCCTGGCCTGATGCGCTCTGCCTTTCAGGCTGCTCCATCTTCCTGTCCAGATCCTCCCTGTGCTCCTGCTGGGCCCAACCAGCTCAGGGGCAGAGTGGGAGGGGCCGGCTCCTCAACGCCCTGGGTTGGGGGGCCTGCACAGGCAGCCCCGCCTCTGAGGAGTGGGGCTTCCTGGGCTTTTCCTGACGCCCCTTGGCTTCTGTGCGCTGGGAGGCTCCCCCATTGGTTGGTGCTCCCTTGGCCAGGGTTACTTCCTGGTCTCTGCCCGCAGCACCCATCCTCCCTCAGCTCCGTCGGCCGGAGCACCAGGTGGAGCTCCAGGTGGCTCCTCCCTTCCCCAGGGAAGGAGGCGGGGCACAGACAGACGGCGCTGGACTGCGGCGTGGGGCTAGAGAGAGAAGCTAGCTGCTGTGGGCGGTCTAAGGCCAGCCCCTCCCCACCTGTCCCTTTTCCGGGTTTATTAAGTCCAGGGGCTTGTCCCTGTGGCATCTTGGCCTGGCGGGCAGCATCGAGAGGAAAGTGGCTGGGTTCTGAGTGTTCTTCCTCACCTTGGGCCACTGCACAGCTGCGGCTCGGGCTCAGCCCCGCCCCCTGTGGCCGTCTGCCTGTGACTCCCTACCCCTCTCGGGAAATGCTGTCCCATGGGTAAGTCCCCTGCTCTGCTTGCGTATCATGGTCCTCTGTTCATTTGGGAGGGAGGGGCAGTATTCCTGCTCACTCCTGACAGGTGTGTGACCACGAGTGCGACCTGCCCCTGCCTCCTGCCCTGGGTCTGCTTCCCCGAAAGATGTCAGGAACTCCGGGCTCATTTGTAGCCCTCTGCACCCCCCCCCCTTCTCTAGCACTTTCTCCCTGACAGATGCATATTTCTTCTCACCATTGCATTTCTCCCTTCACCCTCTGGTCCCCGGCTTCTGCCATCTGCTTAGGATCTGTCCCTCTGGGGAGCCCATGTCACCTGAATGAAACATTACACGTCTGAAAGGCAAATCTGAGAAGGCTCTCCTGTTCCCACTCAACTTCCCAGTATCCTTCATTCAGATTTCCTTCAGTTTCCCTTCACCCCTCTGCGTCAATTCATTCAACAGATACCTGTTGAGCATCTATTATACGCCAGGTGCTTTTTAAGGTGCTGCCAATATTGTAGCAAACAAGAGAGACATGGTCCCGGCCCTCAAGGAGCTTCACTCACTCCAGTGGAAGGTGACAGACTGCCCAAGGAACCCACTAAATAGCATAATTGCAGGTTCTCAGAAGTGTTACCCAGAAAATGAAACAGCTTCACATGCTAGTAAGTGACTGCGGTGCCAGTGGCATCACTGGCTGGAGGGGGCAGGGAGGCCTTTCCTGAGGGGTTGACACAGGAGCTGTGACCTGGAGGGGGAGCCAGGCTCCAGTGCCCCTGGGTGGAGGGAACGGCCAGTGCAAAGGCCCTGCTGTGAGAACAAACTAAAGGACAGTGCCTGCAGCAGAGCAGGCCAGTGGGCAGGGCCGGGACAGACCAGGCCTTGCTGGGGTTTGGATGCTACAGTGAGGACCTGCTTGGCGTGCTGGTGAGTTGATGGGCTGGTCACCCCCGAGTCCTGCAGGTTCTTGCTTCTCACACTGACATCTGCCCTGGGGTGTGCCCTGCCTCCCCCGGTGCCCACCTTGTCTCCTTCAGCCCTGATGTCAAGGTTCTGATTGAGTTCTCTGGTCCCTGATCCCTTCCGCACTCCCGCCTCGGTTGTTTTCTTACCACGTGGTTGGCAAGGCCTCTCCTGGGACAGAATCCTTCCTTGAGTCCCCAGCCAGCCCCTGTGAGACCCTCTGCCATGGGTCCCAGCCTCCGAGAGCAGCTCAGCTCAGCCACAGTGCCCTGCTCACACCCAGCGTTGCTCCAGTGGGTCCTGTGCCTGCCGCCCGGGTGCCTTTGCAGATCCTGCCTCTGCAGGAGTGCCGGCCCCTGTGGCCTCATCATGGGCTGTGCCAGTGCCCCGCCTCCTCTAGCAGTGGTTGGTGTGGTGGGAAGGGCAGTGGCCTCACATCAGACAGCCTTGGTTTGTTGCCTTCCCCTTACTAGCTTGGGACCTTGGGCAAGTTACTTCTCTGAGGCTTAGTTTTTGTTTCTAAAATTGGGCTAACGAGGCCTACTAAATAATGTTGGCATGTGGATTAATAATGTCACATAGAAGGTGTTCGTGCCAAAAACTTACTTCATATTGGTCTTTTGTATCAGTATTTGGGAAATATCATTAAGCTCATTTATCAGGTAGGGATACTGAGGCTCAGGGAACTTCAAGAACTTTCTAGATATTATTTCACCTTCTTTGCTCTTCCAGACTGCCTGCCTTTCTGCATCCCCCTTGATCTTCATCTCTACCTTTATTTCCTCGCTTTCCAAGTGAATAATTTTCTCTTCGGAATTAGTAGGCCCTTACTTTTGTAACTCTCAGCTTCCTTGAGCCTGTTTTCCTCCGTTAAAAAAAAAATTCAGAAAAATAATTCCTATATCACAGGGATGTCTGAGGCCCAAGTGGGATTGTGTGTGTGTGCAAGTGCTCTGTGAACTCCAGAGCACTTATGTCAAGGGAAGGGAGGTGCTTCTTATTTATCTTCCTGCCAGAGGACAGCAGAGACAGTACATCTCATCCTGGTGTCTGTCTGTCTTCTGGCTTGACCCCCTTCAGAGAAATTCCTGCTTCTTCCATGGTCAGGAGTTTCTGGGTTCCTAGTTAGTTTCTCTCCACCAAGCGGTGTAAGCTCCAGAAGGAGAGTGGCTTGTGGCCAGGGTGCAGGGAGTGTTTAGTGTCGAGCATGGACCTGCAGCTTCGTGTCCACACGCGGTGTCCACGTGTGGGTGTTTGCACCCAACCAGGTACGTGCGTAGATGGACATGGATATGGTGAGGTGCGTGCAGTGGGACTGTGTGTGCATAAGTGGATGCTTGTGTGCTTGTGTGTGTGCGCGTGTGTGTATACTCATCTGTATATGACAAGCAGGGCGTGCATGTGTAGGACTGGACCTGGGCTTGTGACCATGTATGCGCACGGGTCCGGATGAGCTTGGCTATTGGACACATACTCTGTGCGAGGCATGGTGCTAAGTTCTGAGCACTTGGAGGTGAGCCAGACTGGCAGCGGACCCCCTGTGGTGGAGAAGCTGATGTCCACCTCCTTCCTGCCCCCTGCTGTGGGGGTGAGTTCATGGTCTTTCAGGGCGGCTGTCCAAGACTGGAGGTAGTCATTGTTAGACCATGCAATAAACAGACTAAGCAAGGCTCCCAGGGCCCCAGAAAGAGGCGGAAAAAAGAAGCCCTTTTTGGGGTGGGGGGAAATTGATGTTCAAAAAATGATAAAGTAGCCAACATAAGAAAATAGACTTTTGTTGGGCTTGAGCACTTTGTTATTTATTTTCCTATTTTTTTGAGGCACAGCATACATATGTGCATGAATATTGAACATCCCATTTATTCCGTCCGTGTATACACCACCCAGATCGCAATGTAGAGCATTCCCGGTACCCCAGAAGTGTCCCAGGAATTGCCATCTCCCAGTCAGCTTACTTATTTTTATAAAGGTGATACATGCCCATGATATAACCTTCGAAAAGGTAGAAGGGAGAAGGAAAGGTCCCTCCCAGCCCCCTCCTCCAGCCACCTGCTCCCCCTCCCCAGGGAAGCCACCAACAGGAGTTTCTTGCATCTGTTTCCTTGGGCTTCTTTCCTCTTGTTTTGGTTTGGGGATGTTTGTGTTTGTATTTGGAATTACAGGGAGCATGACAAGCTTTTAGTGTTTAGGGCCTCTCCAGGTCAACCGGCCCTGAGAATAAGCCCTGGCAGGCCCTGCGCCCCCAGCCCCAGTCCCAGGAGACAGGCCTCTGGTCAGAGTCCTGAACTCCAGTGGATTCAGACCAGACCCCCTTGGCAAGAACCTACAGCTCAGGCATAGGGTGGACGCACCCATGGGGGCTGGTGGCTCCGCCCACACCTGCTTCCCTAGGTCTGCTCCTTACCTGACTGCAGGGTTGGGGCCAGATGGATGGGCCAAAGCCTGAGGACAAGAAGCAGAGAAGGTGCAAGTTGGACAGGGCATAGGGGTCATTCTGTCTATCCCTCTGCCACAGGGCACCTCTTCAGCTATGTGTGTCAGGGAGGGGAGGGCATCCCTCTGTAGGCATCTTCCCGGCCTTGGCAATTACAGAGTCTCCCCCTCCCACTGCGACCCTAATGGAAGAGTCTCCCAACCTCTGTTCTTTTTTTTTTTTAGTTTTTTATTTTTATTTTACTTTTAAAAATATTTATTTATTTATTTTTTGGCTGCGTCAGGATTTAGTTGGGGCGTGCGGGCTCTTCGCTTAAGTTGCGGTGTGTGTGCGGGCTTCTCTCTAGTTGTGGCACGCGTGGCATGTGGGATCTTAGTTCCCCAACCAGGGATCAAACTGGCGTCCCCTGCATTGCAAGATGGAGTCATTTTTTTTTAAATTTATTTTTAATTATTTTATTTTATTTATTTGTTTTTGGCTGCATTGGGTCTTCGTTGCTGCACATGGGCTTTCTCTAGTTGCGGCGAGCGGGGCTGCTCTTTGTTGCGGTGCGCGGGCTTCTCACTGCGATGTCTTCTCGTTGCAGAGCATGGGCTCTAGGCACGTGGGCTCAGTAGTTGTGGCTCGTGGGCTCAGCAGCTGTGGCTCGCAGGATCTAGAGAGCAGGCTCAGTAGTTGTGGCACACGGGCTTAGTTGCTCTGCAGCATGCGGGATCTTCCAGGACCAGGGCTCGAACCCGTGTCCCCTGCATTGGCAGGCGGATTCTTAACCACTGTGCCACCAGGGAAGCCCCAGCGCTTTATTTTTTTTTATTGGAGTGCAGTTCCAACCTCTGTTCTTTGAAGCCCTGAGGCCTGGCATACAGTAGCTAAAATCACCGGCT